GATCTCGGGCGGACGGCCCGGGGGCAAGGCAGAAGCCGAGAAGGTGGACTCTAGCGGACGGCCCGGGGGCAAGACAGAGTCCAAGGTGGGGGTTATGGAGGGGCGAAGGCCACCGCGGGCAATCTCAGGGGGCCGAGCATGAGGGCGAGGACCGCGGCCGGAAAGGTCAGGGGGCCGAGCATGAGGGCGAGGACCGCGGCCGGAAAAGTCAGGGGGCCGAGCATGAGGGCGAGGACCGCGGCCGGAAAAGTCAGGGGGCCGGGCTCGAGGGCGAAGGCCGTGGCTCTCAGGGGGCCGGGCTCGAGGGCGAAGACCAGACAGCTCCGGAGGCCGGGCAGGAAGGCACTGACGGGACAGCGCCGGAGGCCGGGCAGGACCCGGTGTCGGCCGGACAGGAACCGGAGCTGGTGGGACAGGCCTCGGCAGGATCCCCCATGGAAGAGGACCAGGACACGGGATTGGCAGGACCCGCGGCAGGAGAGCAGTCGGCGGGACCTCCAACGGGACAGGACATAGGGTTGGCAGGACCCCCGGCAGGAGAGTAGTCGGCGGGACCTCCAACGGGACTGGACATGGAGCCGGCAGGACCCCCAGCGGAACCTCCATCGGCACAGTACGTAGGGTTGGAAGGACCCCCGGCAGGAGAGTAGTCGGCGGGACCCCCAACGGGACAGGACATAGGGTTGGCAGGACCCCCGGCAGGAGAGTAGACGGCGGGACTTCCAACGGGACAGGACATAGGGTTGGCAGGACCCCCGGCAGGAGAGTAGTTGGTGGGACCTCCAACGGCACAGGACATAGGATTGGCAGGACCCCCGGCAGGAGAGTAGATGGCAGGACCTCCAACGAGACAGGACAAAGGGTTGGCAGGACCCCCGGCAGGAGAGTAGTCGGCGGGGCCTCCAACAGCACAGGACAAAGGGTTGGCAGGACCCCCGGCAGGAGAGGAGAGACTTGAGAAAGGAATTGAGTAGGGACTAGAGAAGGGACTAGAGAAGTGACCTGAGGAGGGACTAGGGAAGGGACTAGAGGGGGAACTCGAGAAGAGACTAGAGAGGGGACCAGAGAAGGGACTAGAGAAGGGACTAGAGTTGGTACCTGAGAAGTGACTAGAGAAGTGACCTGAGGAGGGACTAGGGAAGGGACTAGAGAAGGGACTTGGGAAGGGACTTGGGAAGGGACTTGGGATGGGACTATGGCAGCTGGGGCAAGAGCTGGGTCTGGAACCATGGCTGCGGGGCCGGAATTGAAGCCAGAATCATGGCTGTAAGGTCCGGTTCTGGAGCTGGAAACATGGCTGAATGGGCCGGCTCTGGAGCCGGAATTGAAGCCAGAATCATGGCTGTAAGGTCCGGTTCTGGAGCCGGAAACATGGCTGAATGGGCCGGCTCTGGAGCCGGAATTGAAGCCAGAATCATGGCTGTAAGGTCCGGTTCTGAAGCCGGAAACATGGCTGTAAGGTCCGGTTCTGGAGCCGGAAACATGGCTGTAAGGTCCGGTTCTGGAGCCGGATCCATGGCTGCCGGGACCGGTTCTGGAGCAAGGACCATGGCTGCTGGGGCCAGAACTGGTTCTGGAACCATGGCCTTTTGGGCTCGTGCTGCTAACCTGGCCTTGCGACTCCTCTTAGGAGCCGTTTGGAGGCTCCGTGGACCTCCAAAAGCCAGACGAGTACCAGCGAATGGCTCCTGGACTGTAGCAAACACTGGGTGAGAAGCAGGGGCTGACGCCAGATGGACCACACCGATGCGTGTGGTATCAAAAAGGGAATCTGGAGACCTGGGTCTATCAGGATCGGGAAAACAAACCGTGAGGTAATCCAAAAGCCATGCCGGTAAGAATTTAACCAAATCTTGATTCCTCAGCGTAAGGTGGACTGCATCTGCCAGAGCAGCATCTCACTGCTGAACCCTGACCGCTCCTATCCATCGATGAGCACAGTCAGACAAAGAAAAGGTATAATCCACTAGTTCCTGCTCAAACTGATCTGCTGGGCCCATATCGTGGTTGGTTCGTTCTGTTACGGCGAGTGAAGCAGGCAGGACCCAAATGCAGAAAAAACTGAAAATACCTTTATTTCAAGGATATGGCACACGGACAATCAGAACACTCCCCGGTGAACACAGTCACAGACTAACGACGAACCAACACTGAACACAGGAAGAGACCAGACTAAATACAGGGAGGGGTAATCACAAGACGAGAAACAGCCGTGCAGGGGAGGAGAAACACAAGGACCACAGGTGAACACAATCAGACAACTAGACACACCAGGGAAACTAAAGACAGGAGGAAAAACACAGGGAAAAGGACCAGACAATATACCAAGAGGAAAACATGACAGGGAGAACAGCAAAACACCCAAAACAAGACATACAAAACGTGACATAACACAATAATCGTAACACATTCATTGTATTCGTCACACTGTGTATATGCGTGGTGAATGTTGCAGTAGAAAACTCCACTGTAGCGACCGGTACATTAATGGGAAACCCTAAATGTTTGAGCACCCTCTATGAAACGTCAAGCTACCCCACAGCACCCTCAAAATAAATCTCTGGCGCCGCCACTGAGCCTGACTATTTGTGTTGGGGGGGCCCAACTTTTTTTTTTCTCCAAAGGGGGGGCCTGACAGAAAAAGTTTGACAACCACTGATCTAGAGGGATGCACTGAATAACGCATGTCATTAGTCATTATAATCGGCACATATAAGTGACTTGATTGAGTGAATACAGGACAGCACTAAGCTGTCGCTCAAGCCGTGTCCTCAGTATGTCATTGCTGTCAGACAATTAAGAGACATACTGTAATGTCATTTCTTTCACTTCCGTTCAGTTATGCATATACAGTAACGATCATCAGCTCATTAGTGAATTACATTCAGAAAAATCTCCTATCTTTAGCATGAATCGGAATTTCTTTAGATCTATCAGTTATTTAGCAGAGGGGAGGGGAAATCTTATATTTGGAACAAATACACACAAACACTTTTACTGAAAGACTCAGGGGGAAAGGGTTCAGTACAACATGAACTGAGAAGTTACAGAATTCGTAGAAGTCTCAGGCTCAATGTGACACCAGCATAGATGTAGACATACAAGGTAGAGTTATATTTCTAAGAGGCATACAGTAGGCATTCCCTTCAACAAAGAAGGTATTGTTTTCAAAGAAAGGGCTTATGTATCCCGTGTTGTAAATGTAATGTCAGATCCAGCCCTGGTATACAATATGGGTATAGACTGCAATTACCTGCAGTCTCTTCTTAAATTGAATTAAAATGATGTCATTATGGCTACATTTGTGTGATCAGCCATGTATTGTAGACCTGTGGTGTTTATTTTAATTATTTTATTATCTTTGCTTTGTAATGCCTGTTGTAAAATGCCATTATATAATGTGTTTTTACTGTATTTATTCCTAAAAAGTATTTTAATTTGTTTTGTAAAGCACTTTGAATTGTCGCGTACAGAAAAGTGCTATATAAATAAACTTGCCTTGCCTTGCCTCAGCCAGTGTTTTGCTACTCTCTACTGAAAATGGAAATGTTGGGTTTTATTACATTATGGTCGTTGTCCTGTGAAGTACATTTTCTGTTCTGCCATCACCAAATGAAAGGAAAAGTCACTAAGAGCTTCAAAAGCCAGGATACATGATTTACTTGTTAACATACTTTATATGGCTCAGCCACCTGCGCAAAAAGCATAAAGAAATGCACTCTGCAGAATGACTGCTCAAAAAACAGCCAGGCCAAATTTCTGTCAGCTTGATAAACAGCAGGCAGCATTGAAAAAACAAACAGGTTGAAAAAATGATCCTTGGGCATAAACTTACCATGGCAGAGTGCTCCCTTTGCGCCTTTGCCATATCACACCGTCATGCAGAACGCCAACCACACACCTCCTTTGAGCAACAGAACTTTATATGATTTTGGTTTGAGGTCAAAAGGGAATTTGTCTGCTCTTGTGAAATGTCAACCTGTGCTCTAGGATCATTGAATGTTGAAAATGTTTTGTTAAGTTTTGATATAAAAATCCTTTTCAGTTATTGAAAGTATAACTTCACACTTCACACATTCATGTTAAGACTTCTGCAAACCAGTTAGCACTTCTATACAAACCTACATACATGCATAGTTATTCAATACCTGTAGGAGTTGCTTTATAAAGATTGCCAATTGAAATCATAAGAGAACCATTGATTTAGATAAGACTAACCGACCAAATACACAATAGATAACATTAACTCCACCCTTACAAACAACTAATGTGAAACTAGACATAAATATCAATGTATAAAAATCTCATAATTTATAATACTAGCATTCACAGGGGGCAGTTCTCTATGTTTGCTTTTAATACTTAAACTATACACAGTCCTGAAACTTATTTGCTTTAATTTAATTTAGTAAACAATCAATACTTTTCACATCGATGACCAAAAAAACAGGCCCTCTGTGTTGTCACTGCGCTTTTATTCCCCTTTTGGTCCTACCAGAATCAGATTAATATATCGTTATCACTATAATGCATTCTATGTCATTTAAATGTAAATACTACTTATGTGATGGCAACTAAAGAATAAATGAACCATGACTAATATAAACGTCTCTGATGACGAGTTAGTTTTGTCAGGCGGCTGATGTCACCGTAGCCTTTCCTGCATGTGTTTCAGCAGCTTTTGTAATTTATTCCACATTGATTTTATCTGAGTCGTTCCTTTCATCCTCCGACTAGAATTACAACGAGGCACCAAAATTCGTTTTTGAAATTGAGTTGTGTTTCCACAGTCCTTGAGGTTATTTATTGTATAAATATAATGATACTCAGGCAGCCTATCCTCATTTGTTGGACTTGTTGCTCTATTGAAAATCTACGTTGTTGCTTATTTTCATATTTGAGTTGCTATTAATGACTTTATTCGATAGAAAAACTCCATTGCCTTTTATGTAAAAAATATCATATATTAATGGATATCTCCCTTTCTCTCTCTCTTTCAGATGTAAATGGAGAAGAAGCAGTGTCACCAAGAGAAATTGGACATCCATACGATTTTAAAGTGCTTCGCATTAAAAACAGAAACAGCATCACTTCTCTCTGAAGTAATCCAATACTGATAATTCATGTCAAACTGCACGCTGGAGCGGCACCATGCTGCCTCGCTGGGTGAAACATTGCTAATGGAAAGAAAGCCTTATAAGATCCAGCTGATCCAAATCCCCTTAAATGCAGCATAATGCCTTCAAAAGTGTCATGTTTGTACCTGTTGACAGTGGTCTGCTGGGCGAGTGCTCTCTGGTACCTGAGCATATCCCGCCCGAACACCACCTATGTCGGCCACATGTCTATTCCTATACGTAAGGTTCCAAATCCCGCCCAAAACATCACGTTTACCAACATTCACACCCGCCCCCTTAACCCACATGCCTTTGAATATGTCATCAATGAGCCGAAGAAGTGTGAAAGTGCCGCTCCCTTCCTTATCATCCTCATTAGCACCACCCACAAGGAGTTTGATGCACGGCAGGCCATCCGGGAGACCTGGGGGGACGAGAGCACCTTCGGGGACATCCGCATCCTCACCATCTTTCTGCTGGGCTGGAACACGGACTCCATCTTGAACCAGATGGTGGAGCAGGAGAGCCAAATCTTCCATGACATTGTGGTGGAGAACTTTATTGATTCCTACCACAACCTCACCCTCAAGACCATGATGGGCATGCGCTGGGTGACTACCTTCTGCCCCAAAGCGCAGTACATCTTAAAGACAGACAGCGACATCTTTGTCAACATGGACAATCTCATCTACAAACTCCTGAAGCCCACCACCAAGCCAAGAAGGAGATATTTTACTGGCTATGTCATAAACGGTGGTCCCATTAGGGACATGCGCAGTAAGTGGTACATGTCCAGGGACTTGTACCCCGACAGTAGATACCCTCCTTTCTGCTCGGGTACTGGCTATGTGTTCTCTTCAGACGTTGCTGAGCTCATCTATCAGACTTCATTACACACAAGACTGTTGCACCTGGAGGATGTGTATGTGGGAATGTGCTTGCGAAAGCTCGGTATACACCCGTATCAGAACAGTGGTTTTAATCACTGGAAAATGGCTTACAGTCTGTGCCGGTACAGGCGGGTTATCACCGTGCACCAGATCTCCCCGGAGGAGATGCACCGCATTTGGAACGACATGTCCAGCAAGAAGCACCTGAGATGTTAGGGGACACGAGGACCACTTAACAACAACTTCCTTTTGTTGTTGCCTTTTCCTCTTTTCTTTAACTCATCACATTGTGTAATGTAAAATAAAAGGCCTGCTGCGAGTCTTCATGACAGATGTTTTCATATCTATTTCTGCTGATTGCACACATGATTGTTAACGAGTGCATGAGGCTTGTAGCGTATTCTCATGCATAATCAAAATGTGGCGTTTGTTACTGAGACTAATTTTGTTCATGTATTCCAGGTGCAAATGTAAGCATAATATTCTTTATGTGCATTAAGTCAATCAGCGTTGAGCATTGCGTAGTGTGGCCTGATGGGTAGAGACTGTGTTTCAGACGACCTTAGTTCAAGCTCACATTCACAAGTGTCCTTGAGACACTGGATCTGTAACAGCTGCATGGCTGCTGACTCAGCACCCTGATCCCTCTGCAGCAGAGCAGGCTGGGAGATTTCTGTGCAGGAATCGATAAAGTAATAAATGACTATATTATATTTATAATATTATAACGTTTAAAAAAATGGCATTTACAAATTAATTAAGAGATCCTGTTAATCATATCCAACCAACCAGGTCGTCTGTTGAGGTAAAACTTACACTCATGCTGCTCTCCCCTTTTTATGTTCATTGTGATACAGTCTGATATACGTTGTCTCCAAACAGACCAAGTTTAAAGATAACGACATTATTTTTGTATTCATCACTATTCCCTTGATCCATGTAGCTGAATTTACTGGATGCTCTTTTTTTATGAGTTTGCCTGATGGTTTTGTTTACATACCTTTAAAGTTTTACTGCCTCTTCTTTCTGAATAAGCCCAATGCATATTTTTGTTTTAGATGCATTTTGTTTTTTATTCTGGTTGACATTTTTATACTTGCAATAACTGTGTGTCTGAGCTACCTGCTGCTCATTGAGCTACCTGCTGCTCATTACTCCAGCTGCTGCTCTCGCAGTAAATCAGCAGCTATCCACTCATCGCCTCCTCCACATATCAACAGATATACAGCATCATGTCGAGCAAGTCTGAGTTTAACTGTATCTAAGACCATTACAGACTGGATGTATTATCTTATCTATGTGTCTGGCATATCTGTGATTACTGGAGCACTGCTACTGACATAATGGAAACATTTTGTGTTTCTCAGACAATGTGGCTTTCATGGCCTCATTTTCATTTCTTTTTTTCAAAGTTTTTGTTGTATTACGAGCTAATGTGACATTTACTGTGAAAGCATCTATCCTTCAAGGGGTTGTTGTTATATATTGTATGTTTTTTATATTAAAAAACAAATACTTGAATTATTAAAGATATATTACTGCTTTCACTTGCTTCCTGTTTTGAGTTACCTGTTTTAGATTTGCAGTTAAGGTTTGTTAAACGTTTTTAAATGTTGTATTTGAAATTGCAGAGCAGGTTTTTCTACAGTAGTCACACAAGTGGTTATCTAAAATGATTTAGCTATTTTAAACAAAGTGAGCAAACTCACTCCAGAATGTCAGTTACTCAATAATATCTAACTTCATTTTTCTAACCTTGGAAAACGTGTCATTGGTGTGGCTTGGGATTTTTGGTTTTTGGTTTAAGCAAAGAACATATTTCCTTTCCTGACATGACGCTAATAGAAAACACTCCACGCTGTTTTGTTAAATAATAGCAATTCTTTATTGTTGCTCCTCATCAAAAAATTTGACATCAGCTGATTACAGAGAGGAAACAGGGGTAATATGCTGAAATGGTTCACATACTGTACATATAAAACACAATAAATAACTTCCTCATAAAGAATTTAGTAGAAGTTAATATTTACCACCTCAATACTTAAAAATAATTTAGAGCTACTCAACTTGTTTGGACAAACAAATGGCTCGTCACCCTTTCAATAGTTGCCTTTTGGTTTACAGTACTTCACTATATTTTTTGGGAACAGAGGGTTTTGTAGTGCAGCAGGACATAGCAGGGAAATTAAACTGTTGTGGTTTTGTCGATTAACCTGGCATCTGAATACACGCCTACCAGAGCAGATTACTAGAGGTTCTGTTTGTCTGATGACAAAAACACACATGTTAATTTGTCTCCAGGGGCTAAGCATCAGCCCAAAAGTGCATTGTAGCTTGTCTCATTAAGTTAAGATACTTGACTTGAACTGAAATGTTAATCAGCAGGTTCTGCTCTTTGTGTGGTCTCAATCATTGTCTACTTTCTTAGGCACAGAAAAATGAACAAGGCACCTCTAACATTTTTGAAGCATTAGCACTGTCAAGAGCAGCAAATTATACACAGTAGCATCCAGGTCTCTTCATTTTTTCTTACTGCACTGTCAATCAAATGGGTCCCTTCTTCTCAGTGTAAAAACATGTCTTGACACAGAAATCATTCTCTTTTAAGACATTCATTATGTTATTACGGAAATGTGCTTTACCCACAATTTAACTAAATCTTACATTCTGACAAAGACCTCATGGAAACATCACAAACGAGTGTGTTTTTGTGAGATGCTAAGTCTAATTGTTTTCACTGTGGCAATAAAACAACATAAAAATACCTTCCCATTTCAATAAATAATGAGAGCCTTGCCTTACACTTAGGCAATGTGATGTAAAACAAAAAAAAGAGAAACAAATAAATAAAAAACATTAAAAGCTACATCTTAACCACCTTATGTCACCACCTGAGTACTTCTTTAGGTTTCCTGGTCTGTGTCCTGATCTCGCTGTGTGCGCTAGGCGGTGGAATGTTTTAAGGTTAAAGGTCAGGGGACAGTGAGCGGGAAAGTCGGCGCTAAGGAGGTGTAGGTGGGGCGGTGGTGGGGCTTGGCTCAGGGGAAGAGAAAAGGAGTGAGGGAGGAGGGGGAGGTGTTTTCAGGGTGGGTGTTGGAGAAGATGGTGTGTTCCTCAGTCGGTGTGCCCTGAACTGTCTCCCCACTGTCTCACCTGCTTCAGGCATGAACAGAGCATCAGCTAACACTGAGCTGTGCAAAGCCGATCAGCTTCACCTCGTCGGGGATCTCCGTGTCTTCGCTGCAGGAAACCTGCGTCAGGGGGGAGAAATGGAGAGGGTCAACGGGGGCGGGCCGCCTGCATGCTCACACTCATCTCCAACAACAGAACTAATCCTGCTCTGCCAAACCACGGCGGTGTAACTCCCAGGATTAATCAGGGGATTTCAACTGCAGGCTTATTATTTCACAAAATGAGGCTTTTTCAACCTGCTGGGTTTTAATTAAAAACAATCTAAAAGACAATTTGGGTTTCTAAATGACTTGAATAACAAAGACAACAATTCCCTTGACCCCCACATCTGGTTTAGACATTTCATGAGATTGTCGACAATGAGGACAAATACATATAGAGTATTGCCAGCATTATTGATAAACTATTAGTGGAGACATTCACATCAACATTATTTGTATTAATTACATTACATTTTATGTATGGTAGTATATGTACTCTAGGTTATGATATATTTAGAATGTATAATTACTGTCAGAAAGAAACGTGTTTCAAGTGAATGAGTCACATCTGGCCTATTTTGATAAGGTCAGTAGAGAGGAAATGTCGGGTGTGGTAAAAGTTCAGAACATCAGTTATGCAGTCAAATTAAAGTTAAAATAAGACATCAAGAAGCAGTGGCTTGATCTGTGTATTTGTTTATCTCATATCATCAAACTTTATGTATCTTTATATATATATTAACAATATGTGTACCTTTGGTCAGTGTCTGCTTTTAATGGATTGAGCTAGTCCCCATAGTTCAAATTTAGAGGAAGCGTAAGTGAAAGAGTAGACAATATTATAAATGATGTTTTATATTATTGTGTTTCAAAGAAAATGTTCAGGCGTGCACACACTTGGGTGTCTACATACTTTTGACAATGTTGTGTGTCAAAAAAACACAATATTGATTTTACTGGCAGTTCAACCTTCTAGCACCTGCCATCTCACACCAATTTCAGGCTGTTCAGAATTGACTGGGAGGCAATATTAAAGGCAGTGTGCATTTAGATCTGTCTGAGAGAAAGCCAGTGTGAATAGGTAACCTGATGGCTTCTACCTGATGGAGACAGACGCTCCATCACTCAGGAGGTCGGCAGTGTGATCAACACAAAGGAACTGTTATGAAAATGTATCATGGTGAGCTCAAGGTCTATAGTAACCTCTTGTTCTGTTAAGTCATTATTAAGTTGCTCTTTTGCCACCCACACCATAAATTGCCTGCATAAGTGTTATGTACTGCTCCTCCTGTGAGGGTAATTATTCTCACTGCCTGGTTTTTGTTAAACTACACTCGTAACTCTTCGTTCAGAAAAGGCTGAGTTGAGCCACTGTGAGTTTTTTTACAATGTCTGCAGCTGAGTTGATTTATGGAAATGGAGGCATGCCCACATATCTGCATGCTGTGTGCTCAACACCGCCCTCACTCTGACTCTCCAGAGACTCGTCCACCTGCAGAAATCACGAGCTGCTGATAAGGCAAACATGTCGGAAAGGTCACAGTGCGACCCAAAGAACAGATGTTGCTTACCGACGATTACAGAAAGGTCAACTAAGCAGAATTTACATAATTTTGTCAAATCCTACAGGACTGACATTATTGATTTTTCACATTGTTTCTCTTACAAAAAGTGACTTACTAAAATGGTGTTGTGTTGTTATTAACATTATATCTTGATTAGTGGAGAACTGCACCTCTGCTGCAATGTTAGTACTAGTTAAAGCTATCGTTGTTTAAGCTGTACAGGTGCAGATTTTTTTAATAAAACGGATCGTAGATGAAGTTTTCTTTCTTCCTAAGAGTTGGTTGGGAGTTTTTGTCCCACAAAATAGTTCACTTTCATCATGCAAAGCTAATTGTTAAGTCATTTGATCCAAAATACAGAAACACGCTTTTTCTTTACAGGGGTACACCGCCTGTGTGCTCTAGTATGAAAGGTTTAGCCCTGCTTTTTTTCTGTCAACTTTACTTGATCAACATAGAAAAAATATCAATTTGTCAATCAATATAGAATTATGGAGGGTAATAATTTTAATTTTCATAACTCCAATCTCCTTCACCAACTAAACATCTTTAAAAAGTAGTTATTTGCGTAATTAACTGAAAAACCTTCAGCGTCAGATGTTGGTCAATGCTGAAGCTATTTACTTTATATGTGACCTTTTGACATGCTCCATCCCTCACACTCCTCACTGTTGGGGAAATATTTTCCAAGGCCCATAACTTTGACCCAGTTTATCAGTTCAAACTGTCCTGACTGAGCACACGCCCCTCGTAACCTTGGCTGCTGTGCTCTCAGTGTTCTGTCTCCCTGTTCCTGCCTGTTGACGTCAGCTGATAGAGGTGTTATGATTCTATGTTCCTGCCTGTTGGCGTCAGCTGATAGAGGTGTTATGATTCTCTCTTGTTATGCCGCATGTTGATGATTCTCTCTGAACTAGCTAAATACATGGGTCTGGGGTAGAGTTCTTCAGATTTGACGTGGCAACTCTACCGTGAAGTCAGAACCTCTGGCTCTTGGACTTGTGATGTGAATTCTCCAGCCGAAGCTCCGAAATAAACCATCAGTGTTTGACATCAAAGCTCCTGCTCTTCCCGTGTCTCTTTCCTGAGTCGGTGACTCCCACTACATTGCTACTACACAGAAGTTTCCCTTACACTCACTGCTGCTTTCAACAACAAGCTGTTTACGGCTTGATGTCATCAGCCAGGGCAACGTTGGGAGGGTGTCATCACCCACCATCAGTCATCTGGAAACTCACCAGCTTAAAGGTCAACACTTTGATGGTAGTTGGGTCATCTACAATCTTCTGAAGGTTCGAAGCAACTGTAATGCAGAGGGCATACAACAACACAATGAAACAAGTACATTCTGGTACATTTTATACAAAAGTAGATTAATAAACATTAAGTGTCAATTATCAACACTAGAAATATAAGACATTTTAAGTGCCTCTGTGGACTTGTTGAATGTAATTAATGTGCATCTCAGATATAGCAATTATAAGTGCTGTTTTATGGTAAATGGGATTAGATGTGTATCCAGACAACACAATTAACCAGAATAAAGAGGTGTAGAATTACCAATAAGAACATCTTGTCCGTTGACCAGGCCGGCTGAGTATAGTTCCTGGGAAACGCCATCAGCGGTGTCTGGGGGGAAGCACACGACAAATATTGGGCTTGCAGCGTTCCACTCAGCAGGTAATTGTGTTAGATATTGAATTAGATACTGTCATGGGCACAGACACTGCCATTACCTATTACTCTCGGAACAATTTTCGGTGCCTGAAGATGTTATCACAAGGGGAGTACGACAAGCAAATCCATAAA